CACCAAATCAATCCTTGCAAACAGCCTTCCAAGGTAGAAAGAAAGTATTTTCAATTGTATTTCATAAGTGAATAAATGGCAGCACGGATGGATTAAGGAACTTGTCCAAGGCCATGTGGACAGTAAGTGACTAAGCCAGATCTACACCCAGGAATGCTGGCTCCAGACCCTGCTTTCTTAATCACTAACTTCTTAAATATAGATATTATGAGTGGCAATTGGGCTGGAGCGATAGCACAGCGGGTAGAGCGTTTGCCTTACATGCAGCCAACATGGCTGACCCGAGTTCCATTCCTCCACCCCACTCGGAGAGCCCGGCAAGCTCCCGAGAGTATCTCGCCCGCATGGCAGAGCCTGGCAAGCTCCCTGTGATGTATTCGATATGCCAAACACAGTAACAAGTCTCACAATGTTACTGGGCCCGCTCGACCAAATCGATGAACAACGGGAGGACTGTGACCGTGACCATGAGTGGCAATGTAGAAACCACCAAGGCTGAGTAGTTGTGCCAGCAATGAATTCAAGTGGTAGAACATTTGCCTTATGTGTGCAAGACCCCGCCTTTGATACATAGCACTCCATGGCTCCCCTAAGTGACTGTAGGAGTAACCCCCATTTTTTTTCAGAGCAAAACTTGGATAGTTCTGAGCAGATTCTCTTTGTCCTGCATCAGAATATAGACATCCACAGTGGATCTCATTCAACTAAAGTAAAGTGATTCATACGTTGAGTAGAAAATCAGGGCCCCATGTTCAGCTCATTCTTTTCTCCTCATCACTTCTGAATATCAGGCTTCAGCAGCCAGTCTTGTCATGCTGACTTCATCTTTGTAATGCCAACACCATTGGCATATAGGAAAGGCTGTTGTACTTGGCTTGGGAGAGCCAGAGCAAAAAAATATGACTTGGTCTTGAAGTTGATGTCAGGATTGGGAAGGTGGCCCTGGCACTATGGAAAGATATCCTCAAGCATCCTTCACAGATGGAGAAAATAAATCTCGGGGCAGGAGTGATAGTTCAGTGGGTAGGACATTTGCCTTGCACACGGTTGATCCAGGTTCTATCCCCAGCATCCCATATGGTTCCCTGAGCACCACCAGGAGTAATTCTTGAGTGCAGAGCCAGGAGTAAACTCTGTGGATTGCCAGGTGTGACTCAAAAAAAGCAATAAATAAAAAAAATAAATCTTAGATATAGGGCTGGAGCGATAGCACAGCGGGTAGGGTGTTTTCCTTGCAAGCAGTCAACATGGCCGACCTGAGCTCGTTTTTTCTGCCTCTCTCGGAGAGTCTGTCAAGTTACCAAGAGTGTCTCGGCCTCATGGCAAAGCCTGGCAAGCTACCCGTGATGTGTTCGATATGCCAAACACAGTAACAATTGTCACAATAGAGACGCTACTGGGCCCGCTCGAGAAAATCAATGAACAACAGGAGGACAGTGACAGTGACAGATATACAACCATATATAGGGTGTTATTTTTATTTCTTTTTTCTTTTTCTTTTTCTAATTTTTATTAGTGAAACAGCATGAGGCACAGTTTTAAACTTACAAACTTTGGAGTTTGGGTTTCAGTTATACAATGATTGAGTACCCATCCCTCCACCAGTGCCCATTCTCCACCACCACTGATTCCAATATCTCTCCTATCCCCATCTCCCCCAACCCACCCTGCCTCTGTGGCAGGGCATTCCCTTTTGTTCTCTCTCTCCTTTTGGATGCTGTGGTTTGCAAAAGAGGCATTGAGTGGCAATCATGTTCAATCTGTAGTCTACTTACAGCATGCATCTCCCATCCTGGGAGGATCCTCCCAACATAGGGTGTTATTTTTTTTTTACATAAAAAGATGTCCTTGTAATTGAAAAAGCAAATCCATTCCAAAGTATTACTGATATTCATGGTCCTTTTGTCAATCATGAATTTCTTCCATATAGGATATACTATAAATTTCATCACACAGTGACATTTTTTAAACATGAAAAGAGCTCTTCATACATGAAAAGGTTGTGAAATATTTGTCTAGTGGCATTGTCTCCAAACTCTCGAACATGAACTCATTACTAAAAAGGTGAACAAATATTCTGTGTATGTGTATATTCATTATAAATCAAGAACAGTGTTAACTATGTGAAACTTTTGAAAGCGATTTTAAAGCAGGATCCTAGTTTATTTTTGCTTAAGGTTGGTATATCACCAGCTCAGCTTCTTCATCAGGAAGACCAGACTGTGGGCTTTGGTGAAGCAGAAACAAGGAACCCTGTAGTTAATTAGCTGCTGAGCTTAGTAGAAAATTATTCCTCTTGTGGATTTCACAACAGCATGGGTGCTTTGGGTAGCAGTAGGGGTGAGTAGAAGGGTAGACTGACAAAACTTCAAAGCAACTTTTTCATCTGTTTTCTCTTCACAAGAACAAGAGTTCTGTGCTGTTGGATAGGAGAGGGTAAGGGAAGTTTTCAGTAGTTTCTCCAGTTACTTTACTCCCTACCCAGGAAAACATCTAAATTCAGTGAGCACACTCCCCAGGACCCTGGTTATAGGAAAAGACAATACTTTTGATTTTTTTTCAAAGACTCAGTTTTCAATTGCCCTGAGTTGATACCCCCAACAGGTTTTTTTGTTTTTTGTTTTTTGGCTTTTTGGGTCACATCCACCAATGCACACCTGGCTCGCACTCAAGAATTACTCCTGGCAGTGCTCAGGGGACCATATGGGATGCTGGGAATCAAACCTGGGTCGGCCACGTGCAAGGCAAACGCCCTACCCACTGTGCTATTGCTCCAGCCCCCCAACAGTTTTTTATTATCACTGATTTCAAGATCTAGAAAGACTCACTGACACCTAAAGGATTCAATCCAGTTCCTTACCTTTGCACAGAAAACTCCTTTTAACGTATTTTATTCATATCTCCTGTGACTTTAAATTTGAACCTTCCCTTCTGTCAGGATCATCTCCTCGGAGCCTTCCTAATATTCTCTCCACCTGACTCTTCCAGTGCCCACACACCAACACTTATTGTCTTGATGGCTTCAGGTTGATTCCCAAATTCTAAAGCTCTCTCTCTCGTCTCCATACATACAAACCCTCCTTACTCTCCACGATGCAATCAGGGCCCCCTTGCTATATGAGGAGCTCACTCAGTGTTTCTGAAGTGTGAACTTCACACATCCTGCACTGTAGCACCGTAGCACTGTCCTCCCGTTGTTCATCGATTTGCTTGAGCGGGCACCAGTAACGTCTCCAGTGTGAGACTTCTTGTTACTGTTTTTGGCATATTGAATACATCACGGAGAGTTTACCAGGCTCTGCCGTGTGGGCGGAATACTCTCGGTAGCTTGCCAGGCTCTTCGAGAGGGATGGAGGAATCGAACCTAGGTCGGCCGCATGCGAGGCAAACGCCCTACCCACTGTGCTATCGCTCCGGCCCTTATTCTCCACTTCAGATTTAGACACATCCTCCATCCATATAAAGAACAAAAAAAGTTGACTTTTACACATGATGCCTCCTTGCCTCTCACCTCAGAATTTATGGGCCATGACTCCCGGGAATGAGGTCCGGAAATATGTAAGAGGAATAAGACAAACCTGCTTCTGGTGTGTAGTGCCGTTGGAGGGTCGCCGTTTTCTGGTAGCTTTGGACATGGCCCGCCCTCTCTTTTACCACACTTTTCTCTTCAAATGAAACCTCGGCACCAGGCATGTCTGGTTGTTCTCCCAGACTTGGCAGACTTCTTGGGCTTCATTCTCGTCAGTATCCCAACACCGGCAGGATGGCCTGCTCTCCTAGGACACATGTGAGCTGCAAGCACCAAAGGCAAGTCCTTTAACATGGACCTGATTATCAGAGTCTCTGCTTGTGCTGGGACACCAGGCTCCAGAGGCCAAAGGGACAGCCAGTGTCAGCTGGGGGTCCAGTGAGAATCTTGGCCCAGGGGATCTCCTTGGCAGGGCTGGAATGGCTGCAGTGAGGAGGGCGAACATCAATCTTGATTCTCCTTTGCTGCCAGGATGACTCTGGGACAAAGGGCTCTGTGCGGCCATCTTTTCTCCAGGGCCGCTACTTGCTAACGTGAACTGTGCTGGAGGTTGAGGAAGTAGTTCTGGAGGGTGTTCTCAAGTCGACCACTGCTAAATGGACCTCATTTCCAGGAGTTATGGCTCATACATCATCACCAGTTCCAGGGAGTGCTTAGAAAATCGAGTCTTGGATTAGAAAACAAGAGAAACATGCTTTAATTTCTGTCTAACTGGGGTTTGGCAGTTCTTTGTCTCCATCCTGAGGGGCCTCCCTGCATTTAGAAACTAAATTGTGTGTGTGTGTGTGTGTGTGTGTGTGTGTGTGAGAGAGAGAGAGAGAGAGAGAGAGAGAGAGAGAGAGAGAAAGAGAGAGAGAGAGAGGGAGAGAGAGACCAATTAGTATCACCAGTTTCATCTGGGATTGAAAAGTTCCCCAGATGGAAGTGATTGTATTTATAAAGCCTCTATATTTATAGATTCCTTTTCCAGAAAAACTCAAAGCATAGGACTCTGTGGCATAACCTAGTCTGTTCCTGGACTATCTCTACAAGAATTGCTGTCATTCTACCTGTGTTGGATTGAGAAGCTTGGGGGGTTAAAAGGTCACACGACCTTAGCGGTGACATCAGGACACATAGGTGACATCAGGACACATCTGTTTCTGTCAGTGACTTCCAAACAGAGATCCACAGACAAGGGCTGGGAGGGTGCCATTGAAGCAGTTGTGGAATTAATTAAAAGTAGAGATGCCTGGACCCCATTCCTCTAAAGATTCCAACTCAGTAGGTCTGGGACGGGGCCCAGGAATCTATATTCGCTGCAAGCATTCCAGATAATTCTGACACACAGCCAGTTTGGGAAACAAAGACCACAGATCATCTGGTCTCTGGACCACTGGGCCCACCTTCTCCCCCTCCCCAGAATGTCTTTGACTGAAGCCTGCTTTTTCAAACTTTTTACTTTTTGCCACCCTCACTCCAATCTCCTCAGGACTTCCGTGTCAGGCCAAGAAACATGCCGAGTCCGCCAAGACCATACTGCTGACCTGGAAGGGAAACATCACGTCAGACAAGGAGAACAAGGAAATCCTGGAAGCTCTCGTCATGATCTACTATACCCTGGGAGTGGCCTGGCTCCTGCAGAACCAATATCCTTCCCTGCCTGCGGGGTCCAGTGAGAGGGCCTTGGTCACGGGAGTAGGTGGTGGGGTGGGGGTTGGGGGTTGGGGGGAAACCAAGGCACTGGAGCTCCATTTCCCCAACCAGCCCCTCCATTAGCCTCAGATTTTCATGGGAAAAATCTGAGTATGATCCCCTTTGGTCTCTCTCTGGGAGCTCCCTGGGCCATGTCACCTCATCATTTAAAATTTTTCTGAGGTCTTTTTTTTTTCTTTTTGAGTCACACCAAGCAATGCTCAGGGGTTACTCCTGGCTCTGCACTCAGAAATTACTCCGGGCAGTGCTCGGGGAACCATATGGGATGCTGGGGATGGAGCCCAGACAAGACAAATGCCCTACCCACTGTACTATCGCTCCGGACCAAATTTTTCTGAGTTTACCCTGCCCTTTGTTGAACACCCACTCCCCTGAAAAAGTCAATTATTGAACAAGAAGGACATGGGAATTTAAAGCATAATCAGTCAAACTAGGCCCCAGACTGGGACCCCCTAGGGGTACTCGTGAGAATTATAGCTGAGTTTGGGGAAATGGCACTCATAGTGGAGCATGAGTTCCAGTCCCAGCTCTGTGTGACCCCCACTGAGTACTGCCAGGTGTTGCCGTGGTACCACCCCCACCCCCTGCCCCAAGCACCACTGGGCCTGTACAGCACCACATCACCAGCCAGAGCACTGGACCATTAGGCTTTGCAGAACTGAACTGAGGATTGCCAACAGATGCAGGTAGAGCATTTGCCTGCATGTGGCAAACTCAGATCCCTAGCACCACATATGGTCCTCTGAGCACTGTCAGGAGTGATCCCTGAGCAAAGAGCCAGGAGTCAGTACTGAGCACCACTGAGTATAACCCAAGACCTAAGGCGGGGTGTGAGGGAAGGAGGGAAGAGAGAGAAAATTATTGCTGTTATGTCCTACCCCAGAGATTTTGAAAAAGTAGGTCTGGCATGTATCTGTTCGCTACAATTTTTAACGCTCCCGCCAAACTTTTTTGCTGCCCCAAACTTCTGATTTAATGGACTCTCTGGTCATTTTTTGTTTTTGAAAGGCTGCTGTGAATATTGCCTAAGAAGCTGGAGGCCAAGCAAAATAGAAGTAGTCACACTCCATACCTCAGAGGGGAACTGTTTGTCCTGTGTGAGCCCTGGCAGAAGTCTTATGCTCTGGGGTTGCTCCTTGCTACTCTCTCCACCCAGACACGCACTAGGGCGCTGGTGTCCGCCAATAAGCAGGAGGCCTCTGGGAGCTGCGTGGCCCCAGTTTCTCCTCTATGCACCTCCTTCTCCTCTGCTTTCCTGGGGCTGATGCTCAGCTTGAAAAGCATCTAGGGGCTGGAACGATAGCACAGCGAATAGGGCGTTTGCCTTGCACGCAGCCGACCTGGGTTCAATTTCCAGCATCCCATATGGTCCCTCGAGCACTGCCAGGAGTGATTCCTAAGTGCAGAGCCAGGAGTAACCCCTGTGCATTCCCGGGTGTGACCCAAAAAGCACAAAAAAAAAAAGAAAGAAAAACGAAAAGCATCTAATAAGCAGCCTTTCTCTGCTCCCCATTTGCAGGGGGTTATTAATGTCATGGGAAATAGAAGGATATTTGGAAATGAAGGGGTTTTCATTCCTGGTATTGCCAAAGGACCCGGAAAGTCCCTCTCAACATATTTAGTTTCTCTTTTCTAACCATTCGTAGGAACCAACCTGGAAAACCATGAGTAGCTGTTGTCACCCGAGATACCTCTAGAGGAAATGGAGTGTGATTTACAGTTTCCGCTCACACCTCTGGAGGCTCACCACCCAGCCCGGGCCTGGCTTCAGGCAACCGCCCTGGACCCAAGAACCTGTTCCTTTTCTGGACGGTTCTCCCTTCCCTGGCAGCATCCCCATGTGGGGAAAGAGAACAGGGAGCGATACTAGCAAGCACTGCTTCGCTTCCCCGAGCTGTCTCTTCATTAGCTTCTCAATTGCTGTCCTGAGGTTTGGGGTTTGGGGGGCTGAGTTTTTCTTGACAGTTTCACTGGCCGAGAGGCTTATATCAACCTGCAGAAGGCAGAGAGAAACATGAAGGAGCTTCGAGAATTCTACCAAGGGAGCAGCTGTGGGTTCCAGGTCTCAGAAAACGACCTCACAGTTGCCTTGGGCAGGTAAGACCTAGTCTTAGAAAGCTGAGTAGCAAGGTCAGGGGATGGGCTGTCCACTCCCCAGCACCAGGTGGCTCCCCCACCATCTATGGGACTCACTCTGATTACCCCTCACTATGAACTCAAAAACAAAAAAGAAAAAAAAACCCACGAAGCATAGAGTTGTTCAACTTTATAAATGAGGCCTGGGGTTGCAGGGCTGTTCTGTAGCCTTTAAATCATGGGATGAAGATGTTTAGAGCAAAACAATGAAACAAGAAACAACCAAACAGTAACAACTACCTCCCGCCTCCCCCCCACACACACACACCATTACCCTCTCTCCCCCACCCCCCAAAAATAATAAAACAAACCTTCAAGCAATACCAAGATTCTTACATTCCTCAACACAGACAGGGTTGTGTCACAGCTTTCTGTGCTGTGGTTCTTAGAATATGATTGCTACCTCCTATAAGGGAAAGCAGGGGCCTGAATCACTCCTTAAATAATAGTTTTGGGGGATAATCTATGATCTGAATTCCCAGCTGGAAGAGTTCCTTGCATTATCTCTCAAACCTATCTAAAAATTGCCTTTTTTCTTTGGTAATTACTACTTACTATTGTCATTGTGACTTCTTTAAAGGTCAGGAAGGGATCTCTAATGCAGATAGTTTACTGGAGGCCTCTGGAAGATGAGCACAGGGTTATTTGCAGGACAGTTTTCTTTCATACGGGATAAAGATGAAGTTCCTGGAGCTTGTTCCAACCGGAAGAAGATTTCACGCTTTTGCAGTTGAGTTAGGGGACCTCTGAGAATGAGGATATTTAAATTTGAGGGTGGGCTTTATCAGATCATCAACAGGGGAAAGAATTTTACTGCTCCCTAGATTTTTCAAATATTTTCACGTCTTTGAAAGCCATCTGTTTCCAAGCTGTGAGTACAGGGCACAGTAAGGCAGAGGCAGATGGTAAATGCCTGCCTGTCAAACCCTGAATTCAGAAGATGGTGGTGGGGTGCTAGTCTAGCATAGGTTTTCCTAATTGAGGGCCTTATGGCTCCCTTGTGAGTATCCAGAATATTCTAAAGGGCTACAGCCACATAAATTGAGGATGGCTGGGTACAGCACCAGATAGCAAGGCAACTAATAGAACAGGACGGCCTCGGGAAAGAAGCAGGTCTGAAGGTGACCAAGTCAGAAAAAGACTGAAAAACCCTTCTCTAGAGCTAAATCAGCTATGGACCTGGGTCCACCAAGCAATGAATTAGACTTTAGTGAATGCTTACAGCTCTCACACTGGAGAGTGACTGTAGTTTTTGTGTCTTAAATGAAAGACTTCTTGTTCCAGAACACACCATTGCGGGTTTCATTCAGCCCACATTACTGATAGTTATTATTATTAATTTTTTGGCTTTTGGGGTCACACCAGTGATGCACAGGGTTTACTCCTGGCTTTGCACTCAGGAATTACTCCTGGTGATGCTCAGGGGACCATATAGGATGCTGAGACTCTAACCCGAGTTAGCCACATGCAAGGCAAGCATCTTACCCGCTGTACTATTGCTCCAGCCCCTGATACTTATTATTATGCTCATACTTTTTTTTAAAAAATCTCATTTCATATTTCTTATTGTTTCTTTTATCTTTTTAAAATTTTTATTAGTGAGACACCATGAGGTACATTGTAGACTTACAAATTTTTGTGCTTGGGTTTCAATCACACAATGATCAAATACCCATCCCTCCACCAGTGCCCATTTCCCACCACCATGGATCCCAGTATCCCTCCCACCCTCATCCCCCCCATCCCACCCTGCCTCTGTGGCAGGGCATACCCTTTTGTTCTCTCTCTCCTTTTGGGTGTTGTGGTTTGCAAAAGAGTATGCTCATACTTTTCTGAGTGTTGGAATGTTTACTACGAATGAGTCCTTTCTAGATACTAATTCTAGGTGCTTCATCTTCATTCATTCAGCCTGTAAGATGGGTAATTTTTATCATTTTCACTTACAGGTGAGACAATTTAGACAAAGATTTAAGTAACTCAGAATGTTAGAACATCCAAGTGGAAGAACTAACATTGCAACTGGTGCCATACAAATCTATTTCTCACTATCATAGATCAAATATCTAGTTAGGGCAAGTGCCTCAGGCCACTTTAGAGGTGGGAAAAGAAGGCAAGATTATTTAGACTAGTCAGCTAGGCTAATGTCTCCCAAAACAGGTTCTTGATGAGAGAAACTGCCCACTTGGTAATTTTTGTCTTTACAGTTGAGAGAAATGATTAATCAAACGTTTTTGTAAAGAATTAAGTTACATGATAATTTTGTTAATCCTACTCTCCAAAGGAAGGAGAAATATTTCTCCTTAAAATTAATTTTAACTATTGTGGAGTTCTTTTTAAAATTCCTTATACATATACACTTTTGGGAAGGGGTTTTGGCCATACCCATGTTGTTTCAAGGATTGAACTGGTGTCTGTTACATGCAAGGCAAAAGCTTTTACCCCTGTGCTATCTCTGGCCCCAGATACACTTTTAATTAACATAGGAGTGCAAATGTCAGGGTACAGACAGTAGTAATATTGCATCTCTTCTCTATGTTAGGTGTAACTGGAACTATTTAGTCTAATATTCATGCCAACCTGGTATTTCACGTATTCTTAACCTTGTTTAATTTAGAAGTACATATAGGAAGCTCAAATATGAAAGCATTGTAACTGTATCTCACAGTAAATTTAAAAAAGGGGGGGGAGAAAGAATAATAATAAAATAATAAAATTAACACTCTGAATTAAAAAAAAGTAATGTGGAGTTCATGCCCAATTTAACAAGCTTAATCAATGGCTAAATAAATAGCAGTAGTACTACATTATTTTTTTTTAAAAAAGTACATATAGGCTCCTAGAGTTTGACCTCAAAGCTATAACAACCAGCTTTTAACTACCCATGTTCTTCTCAGGCTCTTCACAGACTTGCTGGCTCTGGAAAGATAAACGTTTTTTAAAAAAATGTTTATTAGTGAAGCACCATGAGGTACAGTTGTAGACTTACAAATTTTTGTGCTTGGGTTTCAATTATACAATGATCAAATACCCATCCCTCCACCAGTGCCCATTTTCCATCACCATGGATCCCAGTATTCCTCCCACCCCCATTCCCCCATCCCACCCTGCCTCTGTGGCAGGCATTCCCTTTTGTTCTCTCTCTCCTTTTGAGTGTTGTGGTCTGCAAAAGAGGCATTGAGTGGCAATCATGTTTGGTCTATAGTCTACTTTCAGCGTGTATCTCCCATCCTGGGAGGATCCTCCAAACACCCTTTATTTTGTGCACCCTTCTCTATCTGAGCTGCCATTTCCCCTAGCATGCTTGGCTGGCCTCTAAGCCATGGACTAATCCTCCTGGTACTTATCTCAGCTATTCTTGGGGTATTAATCTCCTATTTTGTTACTTTATGTCCCCCAGATGAATGCAAGGAAAGATAAACCTTAACGAAGTTCTCATATAAGAAATTATATCCTCCTCTGTTTTAGAGAAAAATTTAAATGTCCATATGAAGAAGAAAATAATAATTTGCAAAATCACTACCCAAACATAACTGCTTTGAACATTTTAGTATTATCTGTAGTTAAGTACCATTTATAACTTTTAACTTAACATATTTTTAATTTCATCTCATATAACCTAAAAATAAAGCATCATTTTTAATGCTCTAGGATTTTCTATGACATGCTATAATTTAATTCATTACACCCCTTTTGAGAAGATTATTTACCTTGCTTTCTGTCTTCTGTCTTCTTAACTGAGGTGGAACAAACCAAACTAGATAAAACAAATGAAAGGGAAAAAATTGGCTTTCTCTTGAAAAAGAGGGTGCCCGAGGTAACACAATTTTTTTAGGTAAATTATCCTATTTTGTGAATTGCTGGCCATGTTTTTGTTTGCTTTTTTTTAAACAAGGTGATAGTATGACATATTAATAGCTTTGATAAGTGGTAAATAGTGGAATCTGCTGGGTAAAATGTAGGTCAGTAGAGTTTGTTTATAGCAAGGCTGACTTGGAGCTAACCATTCAGGGATCTGGCCAAATTGTTTAGTCATAAGAATCTGTCTCTTTTGTGCCTGCAAAGCATGTGGCCTCTTGGTGACTTTCTGTCTTTTTCTCTTTCCTTGTAGAGCCTCCTTGGCCACCCAGAGGTTGAATCTAGCTCTGGCATACTTTGAAAAAGCAATTGGCAATGTGATTACTGCTAAGGGTGATCGGACCTCAGATCTGGAAAGCCTCTATGAGGAAATTGCTCAGATTGAGCAGCTGAGGAAGACCCACAACCAAGGCATCCAATACATGCAGCAGGTTGGTGGGTGGGCTGGAGCAGGGGTGGGCGGCCTTGTTTGGCTCCAGCTCAGTTGCAAGAGCCAAGGAAGTTGGATTTCTCAGAAGAACAAGGGCTGGGACTCACTTCTGTTTTCATTCCACTTCCTTTCAGAATCACACAAGAGCCCTTCTCGGCTTTGAGGGTGACTTAGTAGAAAGCACTGACTCTGGGTGGACATGTGTATTGTGTGACCTGATCAAAGATAATATTTCTCCTTCCAGCCCCCCCATCATCTGTCAATGCTGGGAAGTAATTCAGTAACCTGCTGTAAGAGGAAACGCCATCGGTGCAACTGAATTTGTCTTTGGCAGACATAAATGGCTTTGCAGTGAAAAACATGGTATTTTGGTGAAAAAGTGTTATTTGTCCTATCCGATATGCCAGACACAGTAACAACAAAGTCTCCAATGGAGACGTTACTGGGCCCGCTCGAGCAAATCGACGATCAACGGGAGGGCCTTTACCTTTACCTTTAAGTTAGTCTACCTAAAGGTGTTTCACTTGGAGGTAATAAGTTTGACAAAATACCCAGCAAGGCAAATACAGGAATATTGAGTTTATTCTAATGAAAACAGTATAGGGACTTTAATGTATCATGTGCTTGAGGGATTTTTGCTTGGGGGCAATATTCAGCAGTGTTGCGGGCATACCCATGGCAGTCCTCTGGCCCATGCAGTGCCAGGGATCAAGCCTAAGCCCCCTGCATAAACCCCCCCAGCTTATTAAGTTTCTCTCTGGACCTGTATCATGTACTTCTCCTGAGACATCTAGTTAAAATCAACTTTTGCCGAGCCAGAGTGATAGTAGAGCAGGTAAGTCATTTGCCTTACACACAGCCAACCTAGATTCAATTCCTGACATCCCCTCTGGTCCCCTGAGCATTGACAGGAGTAATTCTTCAGTGAAGAGGCAGGAGCAACCCCTGAGCATCGTCAGGTGTGACTCCACCCCCAAATTAAATTTTTTCTCCTTAAGAAAGAAATCAACTTATGACTTCAGGTATTTCTCCTAGCCACAACTTATCATAGGAAGGGTGTGGTGTTATTACTATCACACCATATTAGGCTTCTTCTGAATTCAGGGAATCCACAGTTTGAAAAGAAAACCAGTCTGGTGGTTGTATCCAAGACATTCTTAAAGTAGCACTCTAATCACAATGGATGAGACGGTAAGTATTCGGCTTTTTATAACAACAAAAAATAATAGGATGTATGGAATGTTCTTACCACGGGCACTTGAAGATGATTTAATTCACTCAACCTATGCAATAGCCTTATGACAGAAAACATTAATATTTTATCAATATTCAAGGATGAGAACACTGAAGCACAAAGAATCGCAACTCGTTCCATTAAAGTTGTGTAGCTAAGAAAGAAGTGGTACAGCAAGAATTTTAAACTTAGAACATTTGACCCTAGAGCCATTTTCCATAGTCTCATAATCTCTGGACCTCCTGAGTAAACCTCAAGGTGGTTAGCCTGTGAGAGGGGAAACATAGGTGATGCTTTTCTTTGATGGTAGGTATGGAGTGAATGTTTTATCTCTTCTTTCTACATATTCCAAGTTCAACACTAAACACATATTTATTAATTTAATGTTGACAATACTAATTTTGCCATGTGTTTTATTGAAATTACTCTATCAGCCTTATGCCATAGTTAATGGCTGAGCTGGTATGAGAACCCAGCAGCCATTTAGACTAAACTTCCTTAACTGCCGAACCTTTAAAAGATGTGAGCTGAAGGCGATGATATTGGTTTTACTGCAAAAACTATTTTTTAAAAAATACTGTTTTGGGGGTATGGTGCCGCCAGCAGGTCAGTGCTGCCAGCAGGTCATGGGAAACACACTCACAAACCACCTCCAGCTCAGCTATATAATTGGAGGCAAGGCCTCTCTGGTTCCTGATTGAACTGCGTAATGGCTATGATCCCAGAGACTCAGAAACAAATCTTGAAACCCAGAGGCTTTAGGCAGAAATGTGTCTGGTCCCTGCAGTAAGTTACTGGTGCTGGGCCAACCCAGGTGAGAATAGGTTTCGTGCCTTGGCCTGTTCCCCCTGGCGGCCCAGTAGCTGCCATCCTTCAGAGGCCACTGGATAGTCAGGTTTGGGCCCCCAGTGACAAGACACGCAGGGCCTCACGGGATAGGGGTGGAACCGGTCCTGTCCTCCCCACTTCAACGAGACCCCAAGTCATTGCCCACGAATGGCCTCTCTGGTTCCTGATCAAGCTGCTTAACGGCCATGATCCCAGAAACTCAGAAACAAATCTCAAAACCCAGTGACTTTTGGCAGAAATGCGTCCAGACCCCACCGTACGTTACTGTCTCCAGGCCACCCCAGGGAGGAAAGGGTGTTGACACTCTGCCTGCTCCCTCTTGGCGGCTCGGTGGCCATCATCCTCCAGAGGCCATTGGACAGCCAGGCTTGGGCCCACAGTGACGAAACTTGTTGGGCCTCACGGGATGGGGGTGGAGGAGGACCTGTCCTCCCCACCCCAATGAGACCCGAAGTCATTGCCCACGAATGGCCTCTCTGACTCCTGATCAAGCTGCTCAACGGCAATGATCCCAGAGACTCAGGAGCAAATCTCGAAACCCAGTGCCTTTTGGCAGAAATCCCTCCAGATTTAAATGTTAAAATTTCAGAATTTCAAAATCACATGGCCCTACTGCAGCCACGCCACATCATATATTATTCATAACCAGCAATAGAACACAAATTGTCTACTGTTGCCTTTTCAGCAGATCTGAGTGTTGGAGTAAAATCTCAAATAATAATGGTGGGTCTGGTGTTGAAATATTGAATGTGATCAAAGTAGAGAGAGAGTAATGTGGAAATCATCTGCCCCACAGATGGGGGGAGGGTGTGGGACGGGAGTATACTGGGGTTTTTGGTGGTGGAGAATGGGCACTGGTGAAGGTACGGGTGTTTCATTGTATGACCAAGACTTAGACCTGAAAGCTTTGTAACTGATCTCACGGTGATTCAATAAATAAAATTATTTAAAAAAAGATACCGTTTTTTGAAAACCTACCCATGATAAGTACCATGTCCTGTGCTCTGTATTATTTTTTAATAATGTAGGAGTACTTCTATTTATTCAGCCATTGATTAAGCTAATTGAATTGGGTATGAGCTCCACATTACTTTTTTTTTTTTATTAGTGAAGCACCATGAGGTACAGTTGTAGATTTACAAATCCTTGTGCCTGAGTTTCAGTCATACAATGATCAAATACCCATACCTCCACCAGTGCCCATTTCCCCCCACCCCCCCCCCCCACCCTGCCTCTGTGGCAGGGCATTCCCCTTTGTTCTCTCTCTCCTTTTGGGTGTTGTGGTCTGCAAAAGAGGCATTGAGTGGCAATCATGTTCAGTCCATCACATTACTTTTTTTTATTCTATTCTGAATGTTAAATTTTATTTTATTTTTGTTATTCTTATTCCCCCGCCCTTTTTTTGAATCACTGTAAGATACAGTTACAAAGCTTTCACGTTGCTCAGTATCATTTTATTTAATCTTCCCCAAACCCTAGTCTGGTGGATATGACACAAACTCCTTCTACATCTAAAGATACATTGCTTTCTCAGTTTCACAGCTGAGAAGTAACAGCTCTCAAACTCATCTCACATCTAACTCCATACTTAATTATATGTCCACACTCAATCAACTAGAAATTCTTTGAGAACTACTAGAAAACCTGAATTGAAACTCAAACTCACTTGGGTGGTAGCAACTTTCTCCATTCAAGTCCCATTATATCTATATTTCTTCGTTCATTGAAGCCAGTCCCCAAACTCAGAGGAATTTGCATAATTAGCCAACGCTACGCCATGTCAGGAGTGATCTAACACATGGGTAGGTAGAAAAGATGACTAGTTATAATTATTTCCCATATAGGAGAGGAAACTATTGGTGAACAGCCTCAGTCAATGTGGACATATTATAGTTAGCTATTCATGCCTGTAATGGAAAGCTGAGATTGGATTGGATACTATTTTGTACAAATTCATTTACACATGAATTTAGTTACAATCCTATCTACCCAAAATATTTGGAACATTTAAACCAATATGATTTCTATTTCCTTTATTTCCTTAGAATCTCAACAAAATGCACCTACATAAAGCGTAGAGCTCACACATGCTAAGAATGTGACCTGTGATGTATCAGTTGATGAGGATACCTCCATTCTCAACTTCCTTGACCCTTTTCCCTGGCTTATAAGAAAATGTTTGTACCAACTAGAATTTTGTTGATCTGTATTCTAAAGTGAAGGTGTTGAGGGCACTAGATAAAAGCCAAATGATGAAATCATTCTTCAACAGCTGTCTGTCCCAGACAAAGCCATCTTTGTGAGAGTGGGTAGCTCTGATACAGACACAGAGGGTCTGGAAGGGAAAACCATGACCCTCGGGCTTAATCGAATTAATGGACAGTAGTGGCTCAGTGTCAAACAGAAGGAATTTGAAGTTTGTGAAGAATGTCATTTACACATTTAAGCATTATTGATTTTCTCTGGTTATGAAAGGAATCCTTTTTAGTGTTCATTTTTGCAGGAGGCCTCCAAGCAACACTCAGAGCCCAGGGGCAACTCCTGCTGGTACTCAGTCAGCTGGGCTCTCAGACTCAGGACTAGGGATGCAGAACTCAGTGCTAGTTGGGACACAAGTGGTGGCAGGGACCACCAGAGCCACACCCCTTGGTACTCAGAATTCTCTAGGAGTGTTTGGCATATCACTTAGAAATGGGGCTCAAAATGGAGTCCTGAGCATAGAAAGAATGTAGTCCGAACCCTGTGCCATCCCCCTTATCCTTAATTTCTTGTTTTGATGTTTTCTTTTGATTAGAGGGCTACACAGTGATCATTCTTGGTCGTGCTCAGGAGATCACATACAGTGCCTGGACTAAGCAAGGGTTGGACAAGTGCAAGTGCCTCAACCCCTGTACTGTCTCTCCAACCCCTCATTTTCTAGTTTTATATAATAGACAGGAGAGAAGACTAAATGTGAATTGAAGGGAAAATTTTACATCCTTTATTTTTTTTATTGAATCACCGTGGGATACAGTTACAAAGCTTCCATAATTGAATTTCAGTCATACAGTGATCAAACACCCGTCCCTCTGCCAGTGTACATTTTTTACCACCAATGTTCCCAGTATCTCTCCTGCCACCCCCACCTCATCCCACCACCTGGCTCTACGGCAGACAATTTTTTTTTCTTTTTTTGGGGGGGTCACATCCGGCGATGCACAGGGGTTATTCCTGGCTCATGCACTCAGGAATTACTCCTGGTGGTGCTCGGGGGACCATATAGGATGCTGGGAATCGAACCCAGGTTGGCTGCATGCAAGGCAAACACCCTACCCGCTGTGCTATCGCTCCAGCCCCAGACAATTTTCTTCTTACTCTCTATTTCCAACCCCCTCAACTCTAGTAGTTCCCCATGCCATTAAACGTTTTATGTTTTCAAAAATTACTTTGATATCTTAAGACTTGTTTTCTTTTAGCGTAAGTGTTCATCAAAGATTTCTTGCTTCTATTTTCTAGCTATTCATCATATGTGTATATATACATATATATTTTAAATTTTCTTATTTGCTTGCAGTATTTGTAATTCATTTATATATTTAAGTTTTAAAAATGAGTCTATGGCTCGGGACTGACCCAGAAGGGGGTGGGCCAGCTCCCACCCTACCAAGCCACACTCAGTGCCCCAAAGCTGCCGCCATGCTTCCAGCCAAATTCTACCATCTCAGGACTGAGCTCTACAGAGATCCTAATCTGCTGAAAATTACAGATGCATGGGTTTTTTGGCTGAAAATTTCAGGCCTTCTCAGAGTCAATCTCCTCGTACTTCTGCAAACTCCAGCAGCCCCACCCACATCCCACTCCACCATCATGTAAACTCATCTACCGGCCTTGTTCCAGAGACTCATAAATAAATCTCAAAAGAGGTCAACTAGTCACAAAAATTTCTCTGATACCCCATCCTGGCAGAGACGTCTGAGGCTATCTAGGGAAGGAGTGGACCAGCTTCAGCCTTATCAGCAGCTGCACTCACACCCTAAAGCCAGCACCATCAGACTGCCTAGTTAAATATTCTGGATTTTCTGGAGCACACGCAAATGCTGAGCACTCTAGAAAATCTCTAAACTTTACAATGTTGATATCTCAGTAGTAGCACACCAGATTGGATGGGAATGTAATGTAGAAGCTTAACTAACAAATTTTAAGTAACAAGATTTAACCAATCTTAACTAAAAAATATTAACACAGAAAGCTTAACTTGCAACAATAGTTTAGTAAACCCTCAGACTTAATGTCCCCATGATGATAAATAAAATTTTTCACAAATTTTCTCCTATGGAAAATTTTTTTGATCATTTCCTTAGCCATGGATTGGTAACAAGCAATATAAAACAAATTATTATGGGCCTTCTTGGGGGCCAGCTTGAGAGATGGTTGAGAAAATGGAGACAATGGTGGAGGAAAGGTGACAGTGGTGATGAGTTTGGAGCTGGAATATTGAGTGCCTGTAACAAATCATCCTAAACAGCTTTGTAAACCACAGTACTTAAATAAAGTTGGGGGTGGAGGAAGTCTATGGTCCTGAGACATTTGATCTATTCTTGAATCTATAAAAATGTTTTAATTTTATGTATATGTATGTGTTTATAGAATTGGGATATTCCAAGTCTACCTAATTATTTTCTTGCATATTGATTTTCAACTTTAAAAATGTATTTTGTAAGCAGTCCTGAAAAAAAAGAGGGGGAATCTATTTTGAAAAAAAAATCCAATGAAATGTACCAAAGCCACAAAAAAAAGAAAAAAATATGGCTCTTCATATCATTACGACATTCCATGCAGATTAACACATTACCACTGGGAAATAATTAACCAGAAGAAAATATTGCACTGGGATACGAATCACTAAAATTGAAAACTGGAGAAATCCACACAAAGATTATACTGAAAGAGAAGAAATTGGCATATTTAATTATAGAAAGAACTAAAGCTTGTGCCCATCACAAAGCAACTAAAATAACTGGATAACCTGAATAAGCTCTTAATGTTTTATAGTTAATCTTTTTGGGGTACTGGCATGGGGACTGAGGTACTCAGGGCTAACTCTTGACTCTGTACTCAGGGATCACTCCTGACGTGGGGGTGCTGGATAGATGAAATGCAGTGCCGGGGATCCAACTGCAGTAACCCACACGCAAAGCAAACACCTTAGCCTGGGTATAATCTCTCAAACCCAAGTAATTAAACTTCAGAGAAATAAATATCCAAACCCAGATTTCACAGGTGAATTATATCTTATTTTAAGAAGGAGTAGTATGATTAACGTTTTTTCAGAAATTTTAAGAAGGAATGCTTGCTTTTTTATGCAAATGATTTTTAAAAAATTTTTATTAGTGAAGGCCCTCCCGTTGATCATCGATTTGCTCGAGCGGGCCCAGTAACGTCTCCATTGGAGACTTTGTTGTTACTGTGTCTGGCATATCGAATACTCTCGGTAGCTTGCCGGGCTCTCTGAGAGGGGCGGAGGAATCGAACTCAGGTCGACCATGTTGGCCGCTTGTAAGGCGAACGCCTTACCCGCTGTGCTATCGCTCCATGGTGTGAAACACCATGAGGTACAGTTGTAGATTTACAAATTTTTGTGCTTGGGTTTCGATTATACAATGATCAAATACCCATTCCTCCACCAGTGCCCATTTTCCATCACCATGGGTCCCAGTATCCCTCCCCCACCCATCTCCCCCATCCCACCCTGCCTCTGTGGCAGGGCATTCCCTTTTGTTCTCTCTCTCCTTTTGGGTGTTGTGGTCTGCAAAAAGGCATTGAGTGGCAATCATGTTCAGTTCCATAGTCTACTTTTAACATTCATCTCCCCTCCTGGGGAGATCCTCCAAACACCCTTTATTTGGTGCTCCAAGAAGGAATGCTTTCTAGTTCATTTTATGAGACCATTATCACCCTGATACCATAACCCACATTTAAGTACAATCAGCAGAGCAAATGCAACAACTACAAATCAATACTTTTGTACATAACATAAGCACACAAAAAAAATCCCAAGTAACCGACCCCCCCAATATAGAGAAGGAATAATACCATGCAAACAAATCAAGAGAGGTCTCAAGGCTGAAACAGGTTCAGGTTTCAGAATGTCAACCTTATCTTTGTATTCTACCATATTAACAATTGGTGCAAGGGAAAATGTGGGGGGAGGGAAACCCATGAGACAGCATTAAACACTCATGATAAAAAGGGAAATTCTTTCATCTGATTAGGAACATTTTTTTAAAGCCTACAATCAACATCTTGTTTTAATGGTGAGTGATCATATGCTTTCCTCAAGATCAAGAGCAGAAAAGGACGTTTACTGGAAATTCAAGCCAGTGTAAACCAGTGTAATTGGAAGAAAAAGACCAAAGGCTCAGCATCCCCAATTATACACAACATCTTCTGGTACACAAAAGGCCCATCTTCACAATTTCGTGACTAATATCAAAGAGTATCAAGTCGATGAATTGTCCCAGTTCCACAGCTCTTGGAATGTGTGTATATATAGCCACAGGACACCTCTAGATTTCACAATACTGACAGCCCAGTAGGAGCACAGAAAACTAGATGGGAAAGTTTCATAGAAACTCACTTAAGTTCAGTGAGAAAACCAATAACACAGAAGGCTCAACTAGCACCAACCAGCTTAGTAAATCCTCAGACAATAATAACATCATTATGAGATACAACAGTCTTCACAAATTTTCTTTTACCGAACTATTTTTTTTGTAAGTTATTTACCATTTTGTTGTAACAAGCAATATAAAATAAATTACTT